TTCACAAATGTCGGAGAACTAGGTGCGTTAAAAGTTCTTTGGAGTGCTACCGAAAGGCAAGCAAAAAGCAACAACAACTGTGATCACAATGGTACGATTGGGTCGGTTGCTGGGCGAATGTGCTGCCAATCATGGCCGAAGTGCGAGGGCTCGCGCATGGTAGCTTTCCACACTGCCGGGCTTGTCGCTCCAGCCATCTCGCGTGGGGAAATAAAGCGGTGCCGAAAAAGTCCCGGGCTGCGCACGAACTTCAAGCTCCTGAGCTAAGTTGGTGGGCACACTCATCACTCCACGTCTACCAGGCTTAGACATTGAAAGATTGGGCCGACCAGGGCTTTATGATTAGAGCCTCTGAAGAGAGACCAAAGTGCAAGTGATGGGCAAACCCAGTCGGCAGCACTTCAGGGCAGGAGGAGGAGGAGGAGGGCTGAATTGTACCCCGCATGCCGGCATACTTACCATGACAATGCATCTCAACAGGGCACCACAGAAGATGGAAGCTATGATGCAACCACCAGGCATGCTCCTACACGCAAGCGAAATTAAGGCAACCAAGCCATGAGCACATCTATGAGAATATCCCCTGGCAGAATAAAGAGGGATATGTCCCCGCAAGCCCCTTTTCCTGTAAAGGAATCAATAGAGCCCCACTGCCATAGTGTGATAGAACGAATAGCCCGCCTCTTTGCAGACCTTGTCCAGTTCTGCGACTGCTAAAGCAAGAGACGACTCAATAGTAGCTCTGCTAGCTTTTGTAGAGGCTCCAAATGGCGCCCAGTCAGCGGTTTGGAAGCATTGAGAACCAGCATATTCTGGCAAGCATTCACCTGGTGCCGGAAGAAGGCTCAAAGAGCATTTCAGGCTGTTTTTAAAGTATGGGATTTGGTGTATGCTGCATCTACGTTAGCAGGCCTGCGGTCAAGGTTGGGGTCTGCAGGTCCTGCTTGAGGAACGTTGACGCTGCAATGCCATCATGCCTCATAAAATGTAACATTTGTTTAGAGGGCTCCCTGACTCGCCTGCGGTGCATCTGAATGAGAGATGTCCGGCTACAACCACCCATCCACACCTCAATCCTCCGCGGCTACATGCGTAAAAATGCTCAGGGAGGTTTCTGGATCTTGATCTTGCTGCAGATGCCCCATGCTTACCTTGTGCCCACGAATCAATTAGGATGAATCGCAACAGACAAATCGTGCTCCAGATCACGCCTGAATGTTAGATCCCAGGCGCGAGCTTGGCTTGTGTTGCCCTACTCAAAAATGCGCACCTACACAAACATGCGCAAAGAGGCGGACACAGAAAAGAACCAAGGCAACCTGCTACATTCAACAGCAAGATCAACGTAGTGTGAAAAGCACGAATACGTGAACGTTTCCCGACCATCAATGCACAGTGCCATTGTATAGGAGAGCCAAACTACTGACATGATGCTTTTTCAACGCTCCTTTGCAAGAACGTCCAGCACCAAGCCTCGGCCACGATGTGGTCCAGGCTAATGCTGCGAAAGTCCCAATGGAACCTGGAGCTCGACGGCTCTTTCAGAAAACGATGCCGACATTCGCCTACTGTCCAACAATCATGGGCAGGATTCCCAACATCATCCTCATCACTTTGCTTTACATGGGCCCCAAGGCACTGGGGAGAGCGGTAGGCCAAGAGGAACTGCCGCGTGGTCAGCCCCGCCACTGTGAAGGCGCCGCCCGTCAGAAGCAGCTGAGAGGAGCCGTCATCTGAGATGCCCTGAACCCACCTTAGTTTCTGATGCTTCTCAAGATTGCCGTGCTTAGGGAGGTGCCTCTTACCTCATAAACCAGGTCCTGTTCCAAAAGAATTTCCTTGACGCTGGCACGGCCTGCGTCATGGCTTCGAAAGCTAAAGGCAATCTGACCTGAGGGGTTCAGAGAATTTGGGCCGGTCTCAAATTTCGCTGCGAATAACTCTCTCAACTCAAGTGCAGTAACCAGTGCTCACATTGCTTGCCTAGCTGGTTTTCACATCTCTGACTATGTGGTTGCTCAGCCTCATGCTGCGGCAAATTGCCTTGTGCTGTCGAGCGGGAATGAAGTATGTCACGTACTTTGTCAATGTTGCACTTCTAAAAATTTGCTGCAAGAAAATGGCATCCCTACAACAGCTTCTTCCATGTGGCTTCTGACTGTCAGGGTCCGAATACTCAGCGAACGTGGAGGTTTCATGCTGAGGCATGGCTCTGAGCAGCTAGCTCAGGCAGGGTTCAAGTAAAGCCAAAGCAAAAGACACAGGAAGACTGACAATAACTTCAAGAGCAGTCTGGACCAGGATCATGGCACCTTCAATTTCGCAAGCTACCCACTTGAACCCCAAGCACCACAGGGAGGCAAGTCACGTCCAGGCGCTCGGGAAGAAGCTGCCGTAGTTGGCCTTAGCTGGGGGGGGCCGGCTTTAAGAGCAAAGAACCCAGGATCAGCAAGATTTGAGGTCGGACCGCTGGCACAGGCGCAGTCTCCAAATGGCAGGTCTCAACATCGCTCTCTAGGAAATCTCCTACAATTTTACGAAGATACAATCAGGCCTGCTAAGCCTATCATGAACTGTACAGCAAACCTCGTCATGCCCGGGCAATCCACAGGTTATCTGTTCTGATGGCCTCCTGATGCGCAAAGCCGGACCCGCGCAGCCTCAGAAGGTGGTATCAAAGAGAAGGTGGCATCAAAGACTCCGTCCCTACAAAACCTTGCCCAACAGGTGCGATGACAAGCTGGTTCTTCCAACTGTTATTCTTGCTAGTCTCTCTGACTCAAAGAATGAAATCCGTGCAACCGGCAATCAGCAGCTCCACTGATTTGCCCACACCCTACGCGGTGCAAACCCAGCGAGAAAAGCATCAGAAGGGGTCTAGCATGCCCAGTGCCCAGGCTGAAGCCGCGGAGCATACAATCACCTTCCCACTCATGCTGACCAGCCCCACTCTTCTGCATTTCGTTCTGATGATAATGCAAACTAATAAGAAAAGTTAATGACTTGGGGAGCTGTTTCCTTTATGGGATGAACGTCTGGCTGATCTGCAATAGAGAAACCCGTTCACAGCATAGGTGGCAAGGGAGCCGAGCGTGTGGACGAAGTAGTGAGTGGGCAGCCTTGTCAACTGCGATCAGCTACATGCCCTGTGCCCGAGTTAACCCACCCCTGCTTCCGGCACAACTTCAACTGTCACTGCATCTAAGCAAGCGATCTGATATATTAAGCCGCATGAGAAGGCAACCGGTTTGCACAAACATTGCCTCAGTCTCGGAGCCTGGAAACAAAGCAGGCACCGCTCTTGGCCCATCTTCTCTAAAAGCACGAATCAAACCCGGCAAGCATCCAAATGGAGATGCACGGTGAGCCCAATGGACCGACCGAACCCAGCAAGAACTGTCAACTTGAGGTTGACAGCTAGGGGTTTTGAGAGTAATTACATGTAAGTACCTCTTGCATCTCGGCTGGCCCAAGACTTTTACATAGCCCAGCAGCAGCCCGGAGGGGAGATCACCAACCCACCCTTCCGGGCCGCAGGTGTCTTTGCCTTGGCAGTTGGCAGGGTCTTCTTGATCAAAGGTGCTGGAATCCTGGGAAGGTAGGCAGAAGCGCTGTTGTGAAGCGGTGATGTAACCAGCTTGGCACATCTTAGCCCTAGGTCATGCACCGAAGCCGCACTATCCAAATCCCCAAGCAATACAAAACCCCGTTCCTCCATCAGTCCGACATGCTTTCCCTCGTCCCGAATTCCTTGGCCTCACCACTGACCCGCAACACTCCGCTCCATCGTCCCATGCACATCAAGCCACACGCTGCATCCCAGGGCACTCGGTTCGCTAGAGATGCTTCCTCAACGGCTCATCTAAACAGGCGGATGGGTCCAGCTTTGAAGTCTTCCAGTGTTTGGAACCGGGTGTGATCGGAGGCGGTAAATGTATACTACGCCATCCATCAAGACCGGAGAGAGGGCAATTGCTTTTGTCATTGCTGATGCTTCACCACGAATAGCTCAAAGTCCACGAACACTTTCGACGGATGGTACAGCGAATAAGATTGCAAATGCACCCGGCAAAGCGCCACCCAATGCTAGTGCGTCACGGGCAGAATGAAGGCCTGTCCGAAATTGGGCTCTGAATGCTAGCCCGTCTCAGCTAAATCTCGGACCTTTTCAGACAATGTGACTTGTTCTAAGAACGCACCCTGTGTGAGTCCTCCAAGATCACGCAGGGGCATTCTTCTGTACCCCACCAGTGCTGTTTGTGTTGACCGAGGTGCGTCACGCAGTTTCAAGCCATTAGCTAACTGTCAAGAACCCTTGCTTGATTGGCGGCAAAATGCAGGATCTCGGCTCTCGGACTGTCAGTCTGGGATCCATCCTCTCCTCAACTCCCAAACTGCTTACAGTTTGACCTCAAAATCTGCACGTCCCGAGTCTAAATCTGATCCATAAGCCTTTGAAGGTCATTCCGTGTTGATTTGGGGCACTGTGAACGTCTCACCGCGACTGCTGAGCAACTGGAGCCAAGAGGCAATCTTCAAACCCGACGGAAAAACAAATTGCAGCTCAGACGTGGTGTCATTCACCGCAAGCCTTGTGGCAATTAGTCAGGGGGGGGCGAAGGCTTCCATACTCGCGCTGCCCCAAACGTAGAGCCAGTTTTGAGCACCCGCATCGGACTCAGCAGGCACGGTACGTTCCAGGGGTTTGGGGCCTGGGGTTTGAGGACATTAATTCCAACAATAATGTTAAAAACCAGGAAGGTAGGGAAGAAAAGAAGAGCAGCAGCCAAGCCAACAGCAGTAGCAGTTGTGCGAGCAACCATGGCAGTGGTGGCATTAGTAGAAATCATGACGGGGAATAGCAGCGGCAACTGAGTTCACAGCAGTTTAGGCTTAGGGCTGAATGTTTCTAGGTCGAGTTAGGTTGAGGGCTTGGGCAAAGACGCAAAGTAGCTCGAATCAGATTTAGATGCATTCCATTCAGCAGCAGGCATAGCAGGCTAGTGGGCTGTTTGGGAGGCCCACCTTCCGATCTCGGACTCGACCTCGAAGATTGCCGGCTGGTCGCGCGGCAGCTGCTGGGTGACCGGCTGGCCCCGATCCTGAATCAGCAAAACACAATGGCAATCTTCACAGCCTGGTTACAGAACGGGAAACGGATGATCGGGCATTTACATACATGGTGCATGTAGGAGTTTGCCGGGCTTCTAACAGGCCTAGTAATGGCTTTAGTGCTTCTGTAAATGGGTTTGATTTGTCATGACCGAAAACCCCTTCTGAACACAAAGAATCCTTTGGAAGATTCTTGTCAATCAACGGGGATACACAGTTTCGAGAAGCCCCATTGCACAAGGCAGCAACGCAAAGAACATCTTGTTCTTTGCTTCTCTCAAGTTGTCAAAGCGCACTCCAGGAGTTGGAACTTCAGGATACTTCCTCATTTCTGTTAAAGAACGGATAAGTGATAAGCATATAGAACATAGGATTTAATCAACCTTCCTTCAAGCTGACAAACGCCCCAGGGTCCGTGATTCGGACCGAGGACTGTGCCGGGAAGACCTGCAAGATCGGGCCACGGCAGTCCCCTCCCCCACGCCGGCTACCACTTCTTCGGGCAATCTCTTTGACTTGGTTCCTATCCTTTTTTCCTCTTCTGCGACTCCTTCCACTGCTATCATCACAAACAATACCAAAACCACTGACCCCACGGCTTGCTGCTGCTACTACTTCTTCTTCCACTTCCTCTGCTGACGCGCTGGGTGATCGCCGATGCCGAAGAGGAACCGGCCTGCTCTGTGAGCACGGTGCCATTCGCGTGAGAAACCAAGGCAGCTGCCCAGCTGGAGGTGAAGTTGATCGAACCCTTTGCCTGGAGCCCGTGGAATGCAACAGCCAGGAAGAAGCAGCACTAGTATGACTCCAGTATCACTGATAACTTTGCGGACGTAAAGTACCAGCCCACGATGAGGGAAGTACTTGCTGAGGTTGGGGGTGAGGATTAACAAACTTGCATGGTTTTTGAGAACCCTTTAGCAATCCTACTTTTGACCTGAAAGGCCCGAAAGGTCCACTTTTTTGGGGTTCCTCAAACAATGAGATCTTCCCTTTTATGAAGCTTTTTGAAAATCCACGCGCCAGTAACTGAAATTCTGTACCCCTGGAAATCCTGAAAGATCCTCCAGTGTCCTCAAGTTCTAGTGGAGGACCAAGCCTGGTAGGAGGCGACGATCACGGCCACGCTGCGGTTCTCCTTGGGGTCCGTGATCCTTGTGAACCAGCCCTCGAACCAAGGCCCATCGGCTCGAACAGGGAAGGGCTCAAACGGCGACGCCTGCGCCAAAGGCGCCAGAACCGCGGTGCACACCACGGCTCGCCACATCTTGGCTGGAGCAGCTAAAACGTCTGCAGGTTCCAACTGATGTGGAACTTGTAAAGCCGCATCAATAGCAGAGCAGAGTCCACATGCTATGTTTGTTCTGGACGGTAAGGAAACATGTGCAGACAAAAGGATTGCAGAAGGACTTGGCCTTGTGCGCGAATGCACTCCAGCGCAAAGAGTTCGTTCTCGCTGGCTGGGACCTTCCAATCCCAACATCCCCCAACCTGAATTGACGACTCATTCTTGAACAGGGTCCTAGTCAAACAGTCATCAAGTCAGCTGCCGCGTTTCCAGCCTCTTAGATTAAATGAAAATTGTGGGCACGGTGCTACTTGTGACTCTTCCATGCTCATGACAAGCGTACCACCCCGTCCAAAAATCCTGCAAGCACTCAAACCAGGGTCCCCTTGATCAGGGACCGGATGATCCAATGACGTCCTCGATAAACCCCTTACCCCAACCATGTCACTTACCCATTTAACCTTTAATCCTGAGAACCACCCGTGGACAACATGTCAGCCGAGTGATCACAAGCATTCCCGCATGATCCCCTCAAGCAAGTGAACCTCAATTGAGAAAGACACGCAAAATCTCAAAGCCCAAGATCATCAACCCTATGACCGTCCAAAACGGCCCAAGAAACAACAAAATATCACTCCCACAACTTGACAAAATTCTAACACCCAAAACCTACAATTTTACCAAGAAACAAAAGCAGGATTGCCTGAAATGGATTCGTGCCAAATGAATCGTTTAAGCGCTTCTCAGGTCCCGCAATGCAAAGCTATACGAACCCTGCAAACACGCATGAGGCTTGGAAACGTTCTCGGGACTGTATCCCACGCCTCCAGAACCCCAAAAGGGCTACTGGAACTGCAGAACTTCCACATAACAATGGTCACGAATCAGAATCCACTAGCCCCCTTCCAGCGGACTGAACCTGACTCTTCTCGGCCCTGCCTTCGGCTTTGGAACTCGGGGGCTCTGCGCCGCAGCAGGCCGAGATTCCGGCCGCTGCTCGAAGCCCCAGGCTTCCTCATGGATTTTGAAACGTTTTTTTTGCAACATCTGCTTTATGGTGAGTTACGGCATGCATCCAGGACTCTTGACCATGCCTGGCTTACAGGCTGGCTATCACAGACAGCCCACACAACAAAGCAAAGCGGAAACCAAGCGGCACACTCTGCACTCATGACTAAGACAGCCACTCCGTTAACCCTTTTGAGGAGAGTCACCCTTTTGCATCTTGAACCCCTTGGGCCCCCAACAGTTGCTTCGCGCCGCGGCTGCGGCGGTGGCGACACAGCGGCGCTGCGCCTTGGGTATGTAGGGGTTCTGCAGAGAATCTTGCAAATAAGCTCAGCTTATACAAAATAAGGATTCGCAGCTTCCAGTCCCAAACGGTACCCTCTCCAATTCTCAGGGGGCGGCTTCCCACGTGTTGGGGTAGGCTTTCAGGAGTCAAAAATTGCACTGCTTGCAATATGTGATGTAGTGGTTCCGGGCCGTGGGGGTGGAGGTATTCCGGCCTTCTTGCTGGAGTTCCTAAACACAATCCTCATCGGAGTGCACTTGCAAACAGTTGTTCAATGATTCTTTTTGCATCTGCACTTAAAGCCAAGTTCGTCGCCTTTCACGAACGTCAAAGAGCCTCAAGAGCGCGCCCAGAATATGTCCGAATCTGTGGAACTTCTTTCATCTGCTAATGGGAAGTGTGCAGCTCTGCAACACTTGGGCACAAAGTCTTGCTGTCCAGTTTGCAGCCCACTGCGAAGTCTGCCTGAAAGTGGTACATCCCCAAAACCCGGCTTTGGCAAAACTCGCACCGAAACATCCTATCTGAATCTTGAGGAGGCCACTGTGTCCACTCCTTCTGAAGCGGAGAAACTGCGCGCGCCTGCAATCTACATTTGGAACCCTTATAACGCAGAATTTGGGAAGAAGATGGCTGTTTAACATAAAATCCTGGCGCGCGTGACAATTGCTATTCAAAGTACAACATCTTTGCCGGATTTCACAATCTGGGGCTGCTGTTAACAGAGCCATGTGATGTTACTCATGGCGTTACAGGACAATGGAGTGTCAAACGACGCATGACTTATCTTGGTCTCAATCGGCTGTCTCACTGTCAATGGGCAACAATCCCGCACACAGGATTTGCAAGCAATTACATCTGTATGGGGAAGGTAGGGGCAATACCCCTCTAATAATTTAGTGGAAAACTGCACCAATGATCTCGCGCTCCTGCCTTCAAAACAACTACCGGGCGTATCAAGGAGTCATTGTAAAGGCTCTCTAGTTTGCTACGCCGCCCTATTCAATCCGTATGCCTGGGCGCCCAAGAGCTCTACAGGCGTGGGCAGCGGCGGGCAGGGCGGCACCTCGGAACGTGGAGTTGAGAATTCGTCTAAGAAGCTGTGGGGTTTTGCCAAATTTGAGCTGATGGTGACTCCGGCCCAGTTGTGAACCCTCTATATAAAGACTGATCAGTCGAAACGCGCTGTCCTACCCACCACGCACACAATCCATGCTGGGAATCAAGCTGGCAAAACGCAAAGATGTGCTGCAAGGCCATATCTGGTGCTGCAAGGCCATATCTGGTGTCAGCGCGACTTCTCTAGGCAATCCCTGTGTGGTTCTTCTTCATCATTGCAGCTACCATGATGAGTCTGGATAAGTATCGTTGGAGAGCAAAAAGATTTGAAGTGCTCGTGCCAATTGCCAAGGACATCTGACATCATGTAGCTTTTTGAACTCTGGCTTTAAAGCCACCCCCCAGCCGGGCAAACACGCTTAAGTTACTGGGCCGAAGACTGCGTTGGTAGGCAGCTCCGCGATAGCGCGGAGGCCACGTACCTTGCAGTGATGTGGGCGGCAAGCCACGAAGACATTCTATTCACTTCAGGGAAAGAGTTTGACTGATCACAAGCAGAAACCCGGCGGTTGCTCCCGGGTCCTAGTACCCGCAACGCTGAAGGATCTTCTTCCAAACTGTGCGTCTGTAGAACTCTTGGCTTCAGGAGAGATCTGCTGCATGGGATCTCAGCGCTTCCCTGCTTGGGCATTTAGGATTGACATGCGAACCATCCTGGCTCCTAGAGAACCTTGTTGAACCTTGTTGCTTGCTGGTCTTGTCCGTGTTGGGCTGCCTTTGGCGGTTCAGGTTTACGAAGCCCAAGTCTGCATAATGGTCCTTGGGCGGCGTCCAGTTGCAAGGATCTCGTTCAACTGTGGTAGAGGCATGTGGCGCCTGCCCGCCATTACTTCTCAAGGCCGGGTTCAGTGGTATATGAGCGGTTTGAAAGAACCTGACACTGCCCACAACAGCGTCAATGCTGAATATGCTCAAACGATCCCTAACAAGCTGTCAGAAGGGAGCACGAACCCCAAAAATCCGCTACAACATCCCCTGGGCTGTACAGCACTCTATATCCGTACACAAACTTGGGCCGCAGCGATCTCTGCAAAGTTAGGCCGGGCTTCCTCCAGAGCAATCCCGGAGATCCGCAGCTTTGAAGGAAACGCCGCCCAACAACTCCCAAAAGAGAATCCCCCAAGACGTCCCATATGCATCAAGATCCGCATGACCTTTGACCCACCTATGATATGCACACCCCTTTCTGAAGCATGAACTGCTGTCTGCGGGCGTCACGTCTATGTACTCCTCTGCACCCTTTATCTCCCACATATATCTGCTTCATGTCCCTGCATGGTGGACATACGTGACCTATGTATTGCCAGCTAGAACTTGTTCCATCACCAAACGGCAGTTTCATTCAGTTCACCAAACAGGCGTTTCAGATCACCAAAAGGTAGAAATCCGATCACCTAAAGCTATTTTCCAATCACCAGAGATGTTTACAAGCCACCAAAATCCAGAATTTTCAGGTCACCAAACAGGCCCCAACCACGCCCGTTTGGTGAACTGAAAACTCCGTTTGGCGAGTGATGTTTTTACCGATAATGACACCCGTCATCCTCCTGATAATCAATAGTTCTTATACGGCACCTTCAATATACGGGGGTGAGGGGTGCTCATTAATCTAACCAAACCTACTGCAACCTGCACTGGCAAAACATGCGCAAACCATGAAAAAACGCGAGACATAGGTTCTAATGGTATATTCTACGGCTCACAATCCCACTGAACTACTTTACCATCTTACAATCTTACATAAAATCTACAGCCCTGGCCCTAGATATTCCAACCGCCCGCAAGTCGCAGAGCTCCATGCGCATGCACGATCACAAGGTTCCTTATTCAAGGCCCTAAAGCTACATACCCGTTTGATAGGTGGAATAACTCCCAAGATTCCTTATGTTGGTGATCCTGGGGCCCTTTTTGGGAACCGAAAATGTTTTTTTTGGTGAACTGAATTTTCGTTAAAATCTTTTGGTGATTGAGTCTGACTGGTTCCTGTACTGCCACACACGCACACAAACAGAAAGCCAAGGTATGAGTTTCCTGCTCCCATACATTCAGTGAATCAAAGCCGAGGTTGCCAAACCCTGTTGGACACATTTTTATCAATGGCCCTTCAACAACGATTAGGACCCTCAAAAGAAGGTATGAATTCAGAAAGGCCGCGTAAAATCCCCAACTCCCCCGACCACGCAATCCTCCCCTGACGTTTCTCCCCTGTCTCTGTCCTCGCGCAACCGCGTGCAGCGCAGGGCCAGCTCCGCCATGGCACGAGCCTCAGCGAAAGCACCAAACACTCGTTGCCAGATGAGTCAGACACCTAGACAACGATTTGAGAAGGGATCTTCCAGTTATCTTTGGGGGCCTGGTGTGTATGAATCTGAGTATGACGACAAGGTGTTCTCAGGGTCCACGTAAGGAATACACCTTGGGGCTAGGCCAAGAATACCATCTTAAAGTGGGAACTTCCCCGGAATGGTACCAGACATGATAAGATTGAAGTTTTCCACACGCATCGCTGGAAGTTTAAGGTTGCTAGGTTGCTGGGTTGCGTATGTTGTGTTGTTGCCGACTCGACTAATCCTGCCCGGCACGAGCAACGAGAAAGAGTGACCATGAAAGCATGACTACTTTCATACTCATTGCTACTTGCATTGCTTCCACGCATTGTGTTGGCAGCCACTGCTACTAGCAGCAAGGAACATACTATTGTGGTGCTACTTAGCTGGCGAAAGTCTCTGGGTAAGCAAAGCTAATTTGATCTACAAGTACGAGACGGTGGCCACGCCGATGCGAGATGCTCGGCAATTAAGAAAACACAGCGATGAACAGAACTAGCGAGCCTTCAATGACTAGCGACTGAACCACATATCGGCATGGCTGTGCCAATCGTATTTTTTCCTCCCACCTACTGCTGCAACAGGAGGAAGAACACGAGCGAGTAAGAATTGTTTTGCAAAACTTTTCATGATCCCGCCCACAAAGTTGTGCTGACTCACAGAAGCTGATGAACAGACTTGCTGCAGTTGGGATTGTCGGAAAATAATATTTAGAGGACTGAAGCCTCTTCCACAAAAGTACCCAATATTTCCGCCAAATGGAGACCTGTGTCACGGCCCTAGGATACCAGCGGTGGCAGTAGGCCACGCGGCCTGAACGAAGGGCCCACTTATCACTTGTTGCATCCCTTCCAGCTCAATAGGCACTACAAATACAGGGAGCAACTTCTGGAAACCAGCATATGAAGCATTTGCAGGTTCTAGGGGGCTAGCACGGCCTCCGTTCCTCAATTATTGACGCTCTTCCCAGTCATGTCTTCATTGAACCGATAGCATGTAGATTATTGGGGGCATGGACGTGGGGACAGAGGAATCGCCTCATCTTACAACAAGACGCTTGCTTCGTACTATTGATTGTTCTTGTTGAAAGGCGATGGCCATAACTGCTTGCGGTCCAAAGGATTCTTGCGAAGTTTTGGCAGGAAGTCACTCACAGCCATAGGGCTTCGGCAGTTGGACTTGTGCTGCGGGCATCAGCATGAGCTTCGGCACAATGGCATCAAAGACAAAGAACCCCCTAGACCCCTACATGTTCACAATGACAATAGGCTGCTTCTCGGCACCAAGATTGGCATCCAAAACAGAATACAATTGAGCCGACAATTGATGCCGCTTTCGCTGGCCTTCCTGTCGAGCAAGTTCAGCGCATTCTGCAGGTCTCCGTTGATGCGGTGTGCCAGGTACTGGCCACACTTGTCAATGCGGGGGTGGGATGCCAGTACGCGCGGAGAGGCATTGGATGATTTAGGCACGCATCACAAGTACTGTTCCCTAATCGGGGTTCTTTGGGATTTTCTGTGCTTACGACGAAGACGCTCTGCTGGCCCGTCTTGTGTTCTAGGGCTGGAACTAGTTGTCTGAAAGTCTGTTGCATGCAAAGCTTCTACCATGTCGCAGCTGAAGAATTATTTTTGGACGGCTGTTGGGAACCGCTGCGGGTTGGGAGATGAGGAGTTGAAAGCAAAGAAGATGAGGGTGGGATTAATGGTCTGCATCACGATGCAGGGTTTCGGCTAGGAGCTCGTGCCCATCAACCACACTTAGACTCTCCTCAACAATCCCAAACATTGGACTTCAGACTACCAATTCCCAAACGCCCCCAAACCCACAAAAATGTCAAAGCCTAGTTCCGGATGATGAACTGCGAAACATACCAACTACACAACCGAATCATACTGGAAGAGGCATGAACAAAACCTCGCCTGCAGAATCTAAACTCTAGAGCTGAGTCTTCTCCGTGCCGTCGAAAAAGCTATCGCATCTCGATGCCAGCCAGGCATGTTCCTAAACCCGAGCCCAAACAAATGTTCCGTACAGCCGGGCAAAGACATTCGTTAAGAAAACTGCATCTGAAACAAAAGTCCTCCTTATCACGTACCGCAACTAAAACATGAAGGATAACACCGTGTGCAAACCTTCCATCTAGCCAATCAGCATCAAACTCATGAAGCTGGCTGCCAGCTACTAGCTTTTAGTAGCTGTCATCATGGTCGTGCAATTATTGCAATCCCCTGGTGCAAGGGGCACCAGAGACCCTGGTGGCCTGTATCTGGCCGCCACCTTCACCGGACTTCCGGCTCATGAAGGCCGGCCTCATACAAAAGGCTCCAAATGTGCATCCCCGGTATTTCTGAAGATCTCAATTAAGACAACTGCTGGTCTTGGATTTTGAGCTTGTTGAAAGGCATGTGTATGTAACCGCCCCGAGGGTTAAGGCGTAGACTGGAGTTTGAACTGCAAGTTTGTGGGCTGAGTGATTTGAGGGCTTAAGCTCCAGATGGGTAGGGGAAGCTGGAGCAGCAACAGGACAATCAAGGATGTCGCCGCATCTCTTTAAGGACTGACCAGTGGTTCTGGGTTGTTGGCATTTTGAGTGATTGGCCTGTTTGTTGCAGCTAGCATCCTAAAAAAAGCGAAAAGCATGAGCGAAACTTTGGTTTTAGCACCGGCAGGTCTGTGCGCAGGACAGAATTACAATGCGGCTTTGGTTCATGGTCCAGGTTATCTTTCGAAATTCGCACACACTTTGTTTGCAAATGAATTGTGTCGGAGGTTCATTAGTGAGTGGCCCCTACTTCAGAACTTTCCTTGCCTCACATGCAAGCGCCTGCACATCCCGACGCCCCCGACCGCTTCACTCACAAAAGAACTACCCACGAATTCCACATCACCTTGATAATGTAACGTGAAGTATCCGTGTGCCCGTACTTCTTACTGCTTCCGTTTCTACCAGACTCCTTTTGCCAGAGCTACAGCTACGGCTGCTGCTACTGCACTCGAGCTCCTGAGCTGGCTACGGCGATGCAGTGAGAAGCTCGAAAAGCACCATGCCGAAAGAGTAGACCTGGAAGTGCACTAAGGGACTGTAAGAAGCAGTACATAGAGACTCTAGAGCGGAGAGCGGGTGTTCCGCAGGGGTACAGGGAGATGAAATGAAGCAGACACGAAAACATGTTGCCGGGCATCTTATGTTGTTGCAACATCTCTGCGGTGCCTTCACTCCCAGCTCCACGAGGTCTAGCTGACCGTGCCAGTGGACCGAACCCTTCACGCATTTCAGCCCTACACCTAATGAAGGAAAGACACGGGCGGCAAGTTTGGCTAGCAGCAAGCTAAGGCGAACTTATCCGCCCTGACCTAGAACGCTCTCAGTTCACGTTCTTTTCGCATCACCACAGCCCGGCTCTAGGTTGGGTCCGAAAACTGTTGGATCCGTAGCGAACTGATGCTCGCCTCGGATCCGAAGAACAGCGCGTCTCAAGCCCGGGTGGGTGAGGCGGGAAACAAAAAGAACTAAGCGAACACTGATTCCTTGAGAATCCTCGCTGCGGAAGATTGCAGCGTACTACACAGGAGGCAGAGTGCACCTACAGCGAACTATGCACAGAAAACGAACTGCACCGCCTACTTGTCACTAGGTGCACACGTGCACTACACGACAAGTTTGGCCAGCAGCAAGCTAAGGCGAACTTATCCGCCCTGACCTAGAACGCTCTCAGTTCACGTTCTTTTCGCATCACCACAGCCCGGCTCTAGGTTGGGTCCGAAAACTGTTGGATCCGTAGCGAACTGATGCTCGCCTCGGATCCGAAGAACAGCGCGTCTCAAGCCACTTCCGCGCGCTGTTCCCCAATTTGGTGCGCGGACACGGAGTCAGCAGCCTGGGCGAACGTGGGCACCAGGACGTCCAGGTCGGTGTGGTCCAGCGTGGTGAGCCACTGGTAGAAGTTGTGGAAGTCCACCTCGAGCTTCTCGAAGCCGCAGTCGTCTGCGAACTGCCAGTTGTCCCGGGAGACACCATCGGAGCAGTTCTCCTTGGAGGACACTCTGTGAAAGGTGAGAGAAAGCGACCTGTCGGCCACCCACGACCAAAAGCAAGCCAGGACCTTGGTGAAGCGCTCGTCTTTGGAGTAGCCTTTTCTGAGAGCGTGCTCGGCTGCCACGTTGTCGCAGAAGCACAGGACGTGGCTCCCCGGCTGGGGCCGTATGCGGAGCAACGCCAGCACCTGAGCCAGCATCTCCAACCAGAAGATGTAGGCCTTCGAAGTTGCCAAGCTGACAAGCACGCGACCTGGTACTCGCGACCTGAAAGAAACCCTCTGTCCAGAGTGCGAACTATATACTGCGCCCCATCCGTTGTCTGCGACTTGGAGCGCCTGGAGGGGCAGCGCTTCCTGTAGCCATTTGTTGGCTGGTCTTCGGTGGCCCGTTACTGTGACGTACGCATCTGCGTACAGGACCGCGACCGGTATGGCCGAGGGCTGCAAGGGTATGCGCACGGGTCTTAGGGACCTAAGAACCTTAAGAAGGCAGGTAAGGGAGCACCTAAGAGGTCTACTCAACCCTATTGGTGAAGCCGGGGAACCGTGCTGTCTGACGAACAAAGGTCGAAGGAAAGCTCTCCCTACCGAACCGAACATCCAAGACGTTGCGAACCCGAGCTTACCGGCGAGCTTGGCTGGCTCGGCTGCACATGAGGTGAGGGAGTCCTGCTCCAGGGCGCGGGAAATTGTGCTTTCGATTTTGGACACACGTGCTCGGCCTGGCGATGCCTCTACTGCGACCTCTGTAATCTCCCAGTCGACCCCTAACAGGGTGATCTCAGCGGATGGGGGCTTTGCTTTTGCTTCCTTCATTTGGTACCCCATAGACTTATGGATGCCCGGATGCCCTGAAAGCCTTGGAAGCCGTGGTCGGCGGACTCGAGGCGCTCGCATCCGAAGAAGTCGTCCACGAAGTGGGCTGCTGCCAGCCATAGCAGCACTATGCTCAGGAAGCACAGGGCGTCTGCGACCCTGATGTAAGACCAAACGCTGCCCGAGCTGCTAAAAGGCAAGACCTGGTGCATCCAGACGGCGGCGGGGTCTCCCGGCAGGATGGTGCAGCATTCCGAGGGCTTGCGAACCGGAAGGCTACGGTACGCTCCTTCATGGTCGACCGCAAACAGCCTTGGTTGGCCGGTGGTCGCCACGTATCGCAGCTGGGAAATCACAGTCTGTGTTCCGGCGTACGGCGGGACATCTCCTGCAAAAACTGTTGAGTTGTGGCCGGATCTGAGCTAGTCATCTCCCCTGCGGACTTTCCCGTGTTGCTCAATGGGGAAGGCTCTGGCTGCCCGAAGTCCTTCCTCTTTGGAGTTGGCACGGAGCCACGCGGTGCCGAAAGGACCCACGAACCTGTCCTTCTTGGCTTCGGCCTCGACTTCCGAACGAAGAGTCTCCTCGTGCTGGGAGTCTCTCGGCTGGCAACAAGCTTGGCGAACGTGCTCGGCATTGAAAGTCTCGAACTGACACTGTGTCCACGGCGAAGAGTACTTGGAGTCCTGTCGCAGATTCCAACCGGGCCCAGCAGGGGAAAGCTGTGGAAGAGGTCGCGAACCAGGAGCTCGAACTCTGGAAAAGCGAACAACTGCAAAAGGTGAGCCATCACAAGGAGCGACACCACATTCCTGCCCGTACCTTGTTTGTAAACACGGATGACATGGGCCGGAGCAGCTGACATCCATGCCTCTTGCTCTTCTGCCAGCTCGCGAACTAGAGCTTGTACGTCCTCTCGAACTGAGTCTCGCCACTGTTGTAGGGATGCCCCCATGTGTTGCTGCATGTCCAGGGCCCACTGCAAACACCGGTTAAGGTTCACGGGGAAGAGGTCGAGCCACTGTAAGGACAAGGCCCATTGGAAGTGGGCGAACTCGTCACGGCCAGGGGGCTGGAGCTGAGGCTGTCGTGGCTCCTTGGGGTCCCAGTTGATCCCCGAACGTCTCCAGAACGAGGCCATCCTGCAGAGCGGGCGAGAGCCGTCCGGGTGAAAGCGAACTTCGAGAAGCGGGGTCTGGACTTGTGTGTACCGGGAGTCCTGTCCCAGGGCTTGCAAGGAAATGGCCTGATTGGCCAGCAGGACTGCGAACAAGAGAAAGCGACAGGTAGGGAGGTGCCAAGAATTGCCGATCATCCGGCACCTTGCCCTCTGTGTATCCTGCCGGGAAGTCAGTGGAGGAACTCCCTGACTGCTGCACGAGGGGTCTCCCACTGCTGCGAGTCGCTATGGCAAACTAAAGCAGTCTGGCGGTATTGCCAAGGAGGATATTGCTGCCCAGCCTGGCGCCACCGCTGCAGCGTATCCTCGTCCTCGGTTTTCCGCCGTTTTGGCGGGGCCGGCCTTTTCCCTCGGCAATGGGCGAGGGAGTTGTGAGGTAGGGAAAGCGAACATGTCCGGCCATGACCTGATCATGGAAGGTAGCCAGCTTGCACTCGGTGGCCAACTGTCGTGGGAACGTGGCGGTTCCACTTTCTCCAGCGGGCCATCCCCGACATGACTGGGGAGCGTGCTGAGCGTCGAGGTCAGGAGGTGTGACGCTGTCGGACCACCACAAGCGCGGACGAGACACCAGGCCCCAGGAGGCGGCGTCACACTGGAACGAACGGAGGCCCACCTATCCTGGGCTGCTGCGGACATGACCACATTCTCGACAAACCTCAGAATCTAGTTGAACTTGGCGCCTTCCGGGCCTGAGGTCCCGAGGGCGCCTGCTCCCTTGACGTTGGAGAAGTCGTGGCAAGGGGGCGCGCCACAAATCACTGTTAGGGTGTGCTCTGTGCAGTGTTGGTCCAACACTGACGCGACCTTTTCGGGGGCCGAACTCGCGACGTCGCCCCATTGGACTATCTGGGGGTGTTTCCCCGCGACCGTCCTCAGACAGTCATCGTCCGTCTCCCATGCCCAGGACACTGTGACGAACGCTCCGATGTCCTCCAATGCCTGGTGCGCTGTGGCAATTCCGTCAAAGAAGGAAAGAAGAGCGATGGGACGACGACTTGTCCCAATCTTGCGAACCTGGTGTTGGCTCGACGAACTCTCGTTTGCGCCTTGTTTGGCGCCTTGCTGCCTGTTGTGGGGACGTCTTGAGTGTCAGTTGCGAACCTCGGTCCTGGTCGCCTTGCGAACCTGACCTGTGCTGGTTAGGGATGTTAGGAGGAACCGTACGTAAACCCGGGGCTAGGGGTGGTGCTTGACCGGCTGGGGGTGTTGGCGAAGCCTTCGGCAAGTCTTGCACGAACAGAGCTGAGGGGTTAGGCAGCGGGGGCTGACACGGGTCAGGGGGCGGAAGTGGAGGGAAGCAGTACGACCGGAGCTGTGCGCGGGCGCCGCCCAGTCCTCGAGGCCGGACGGTCCAAGCTGGGCCTGGCACTGACGGCAAGGGGCCGTGAGCGAACTTATCCCCGAACTTGCAGAAACCCTGAGCCCAGAGGCGACACTGGCCAGCGAGCCAGAGCATCATGCTTGTCAGGGGATTGGAGGATTTTGTCCACCCCTGACTCGAACGTATGTTCTGAACGCATGCGCATTGCCAGGCCCCAGGACGTCTTCTTGTAGTACTCGCGGACCTGGGGGATCTTGTTGGGTGTCGCGAACCATGTTGATGAAGAAATCGCAGAAGCGAACCACATCAGGTTCTTTTCCCCACCTCGCGAAAATCATCGCCCATTTGACTGACTCAAAGGCATCAATGACCGTCAACAGACGTTGGGGCTCCGGTGTGGTCTTGGGCTGGCGAACGAACTGGCCGTTCTCGAACGTGAGCTTCTCGACGCGGTCGGTGTCCGAACGGTTCCACGGGTTGACCTGTCCGGATGGTGTGAAGTGGCGAACAGATGACTTCGCCCAACTTCACGGGCGAGTACAGGCCCGACACCGTCTTTTCGTGAACCATCCTGGACAGTATCTCCTCAGCTCCGACCAGGAGGTTAACAGGAAAGACCCTGTTAACCCCTGCGACCTTCTCGGTCTCGAAGTCCTTGACGACCTGTGCCCAGTAGCCTTTCGGCAGCGACTTGGGCGGCTTCGCGGCGTCGGCCGGTGTAGTGGTAGAGCTCGTTGCAGGAGAAGGAGCGACCGGGGAGGTCGAGGGTGCGGCTGCCAGCTGCTGGTTGCGAACTATTGTCAGCTCGTCCATCATGTGTTCGAGCGTAGCCTCCACCACTGCAAGTTGGGTCACGTCCTTCTTGACATCCGCGCCGTTGAGCTTGACGCCGATCGCGAGGGGCTCGAGGAACTTGGCGATCTTGTCGCGTTGGGCGAACATATGAAAGATTAAGATGCCCGAGGATTGGACGCCCTTGTCCTGCAGGAAATCGAGGATCTGCGGGTCCAAGGCGTTGTCAGCGGAGAGCTTGGCCAGCGCCGGCAAGGTAGGTGTCGTCGAGGTCGAACCGGTGAGCATGGCCGCTGATCCTGGCGAACGTTACAAACCACTGCTAAGGAAAAACCGAAAACTGCGAAGAGTACTCTCCTGAACGTGTCCCCTTCACTCGTTATCTGTGCTTGTCCGGCTACGCCGCAAGGCTGCTCTTTACTTTTCAGCTGCTAGACGAACTGGAAGAGGATTGTTCCTCCTCTCCCTGCGGAGCTGCAGCCGCAGCGGGATCCTCTGAGAAACACTTTGCACACTTTTGAAAGCCTGGCAGGACGGAAGGGTGCCTGAGGCAGTTCGACCTGCCATATTTCCACTTGCCGCACGCAGAGAGCCAGTGCTCACTCGCCAGGGTGTGCTCCGAAGGTGACGGTCTGTGAGCGAACTTGCTGCGCGGGTTGTGGATGAAAGCGGCCTGGTGTTGCGACACAACTCTGCGGACTATGGGCCAAACCTCGGCCGAAGCCACCGCTTGACGAAGGTGTCGCCGAGGAAGACCAAGCCGCCTGCACTGTCAAGGCTGCCTGCTCAGGTACGAACACCGAGTTCTGAACGTACCTCATGATCGCCGCCGACCCCCACCTTCCTATGACTTGAATGGTAGGCAGGGGAATGTTGGTGCGGGCGAACATCTGTGCTCCAGCCACCCGAAAGGAGTGCTGCGCGGGCCCACTGTTCCTGCAAGACGAACGCCGCCGCCTGGGCCAGCGCACTGACCTGGCGAACTGTTGGGGCCCCTCGTTGCCGAAGAGGAACTTCTCTGGCACGAACTGTTGGCGAAGACGTAGGTCAAGGACAACGTGCATGAGGGCGTGGAAGACGCAGAGTGGGGATCTACCCTGCGAACATGCACACTTCTGCAACCTTGTAAACATCAGCGATGGGTGTGTCTCTGCGGGGCAGCCTGAGACGTGGACCGGGTTGCAAATGCAATCGAAAGGTGACGTCAGCACAGGTCACGTTGGCCACCTCAATGCCGCGTAGTAAGAACCAGCTGGCCGCGACCACAGTCTCAGCCGGGTATGGCAAGCGGACATGCTCAGGTTGCTGGAGCTGGTAGTAGCCATCTTGTCGGCGAACTCGTCCGTGGCTTTATCGACCTCCAGGTCCAGTTTGGGCTCGCCGGGGCCCACACCCCTGAGCACAGAGCGGATTGCCTGGTTCCTGGCCAACTCTAACTCGGGCGACCAGGAGAATCCTTGCTGTTCGCGATGGCATAATATCTGGCTGGTGCTCAGCAGGGAATGAGGGAATGAGTGAGGGAAAAGCATGATGCTGATGATGCATCCGTAGCCTGGACTTGTTAGTGAGCTTGAGGAAATGAACAGCCAAATAATCAAAAAAAGATTATAGTGATAGATCCATATGAACAGCGTATGACGCTCATGATGCACCGGTATTCTCAG